AGCTAAAGCTAAGCTAAAGCTAAGCTAAAGCTAAGCTAAAGCTAAGCCACAGCTAAGCTAAAGCTAAGCTACAGCTAAGCTAAAGCTAAGCTAAATCTAAGCTCAAGCTAAGCTAAAGCTAAGCTAAAGCTGAGCAACAGCTAAGCTACAGCTAAGCTAAAGCCAAGCTAAAGCTAAGCTAAAGCTAAGCTAAAGCTAAGCTAAAGCTAAGCTAAAGCTAAGCCACAGCTAAGCTAAAGCTAAGCTAAATCTAAGCTAAAGCTAAGCTAAAGCTAAGCTAAAGCTAAGCTAAAGCTGAGCAGCAGCTAAGCTAAAGCTAAGCTACAGCTAAGCTAAAGATAAGCTAAAGCTAAGCTAAAGCTAAGCTAAAGCTAAGCTAAAGCTAAGCTCAAGCTAAGCTAAAGCTAAGCTAAAGCTAAGCTAACGCTAAAGCTAAAGCTAAATCTAAAGCTAAAGCTAAGCTAAAGCTAAGCTAAAGCTAAGCTAAAGCTAAGCTCAAGCTAAGCTAAAGCTAAGCTAAAGCTAAGCTAAACGCTAAGCGAAAAGCTAAGCGAAACGCAAAGCTAAAGCTAAGCTACAGCTAAGCTAAAGCTAAGCTAAGCTAAAGCTAAAGCTAAAGCTAAAGCTCCCAGGGGACTGGGGGGAACCGCGGGGCGGGGACTGGGGGAACCGCCCGGGGCGATTTCCACTGCCCGGCCCCTTTAAGCTAAGAGAGTAAGAACCCTTCTAGGCAGAGCCTAGGTAGGGAAAAAATGATCCCAGTGCGACCCTACCTAGGAGTTGGAGCCCCTAGGAAGCCAGCATTAATAGTAACAGTAAAGCTAAGCTAAAGCTAAGCGAAAGCTAAGCCAAAGCTAAGCTAAAGCTAAGCTAAAGCTAAAGCTAAGCTAAAGCTAAGCTAAAGCTAAGCTAAAGCTAAGCTACAGCTAAACTAAAGCTAAGCTAAAGTTAAGCTAAAGCTAAGCTAAAGCTAAGCTGAAACCAAGCTGAAGCTAAGCTAAAGCTAAGCTAAAGCTAAGCTACAGCTAAGCTAAATATAAGCTAAAACTAAGCTAATGCTGAGGTAAAGCTAAGCTGAAGCTAAGCTGAAGCTAAGCTAAAGCTAAGCTTACGCTAAGCTACATTTAGGCTAAAGCTAAGCTAAAGCTAAGCTAAAGCTAAGCTAAAGCTGAGCTGAATCTAAGCTGAAGCTAAAGCTAAAGCTAAAGCTAAAGCTAAGCTAAAGCTAAAGCTAAGCTAAATCTAAGCTAACTCTAAGCTACATATGAGCTAAAGCTAAGCTACAGCTAAGCTAAAACGAAGCTAAAACTAAGCTAAAGCTAAGATAACGCTAAAGCTAAACATAAAGCTAAAGCTAAAGCTAAGCTAAAGCTAAGCTAAAGCTAAGCTAACTTAGGCTAGGCAAAGCTAGTATAAGCTAAGCTAAGCTAAGATTAGATAAGCTAAGATAAGCTAAACTAAGCTAAGCCAAGCTAAGCTAAGCTAAGTTAAGCTAAGATGAGATACGCTAAGCTAAGCTAAGCTAAACTTAGCTAAGCTAAGCTGGGTGAACCCAGGGGGCGCAACTGGGGGAACCGCGGGGCGGGGAACTGCCCGGCCCCTTTAAGCTAAGAGAGTAAGAACCCTTCTAGGCAGAGCCTAGGTAGGGAAATACAAAAAAACGGGCCATGGGAGCCGCCCGGGAGCCGCTTCACTCGAAAAAATACAAGGGAAACGGGCTATTAGACCAGACGTCTGCGCCTCGCACCCCCCCTGGACCCCCCCTAAGAAGGGCTTCGCCCCAACTCAACGTCACTCGCTCGTACCTCGCTCTTTCTGTCACCTGCTTGGCACGGGGACGGAAAGCGCACTTACTTTCAGAGCGCACGAGATCGCTGGCTCGTCCGCTCTTACACCTCTTTTTGGCTCCCTTCCCCTCGCTCTTGTCCTATCTCAGCCTCGGAGAGTCGCGGAGCTTTCTTTGAGCGCGTTTCTTGTTTTGGAGGGGGCGGTCGGGTCGCGTTGCGTTTTCCGCGTGTGGGCTGCCAGCTTTCCAGAACCCCGCGTTTTCCTTGCGTGGACCGCTCGTTGTCCACGCGTTGTCGCCCGTCCCTGTGCCCTGGCGTCAAGAACTTATTACGCCGCAGCTCTCTGTTGGGAGCTTTGGTCTTATCAGCTCGATTACGTCACCGCTCGCTCTTGGGAGCCGCGAAGCTAAGAGCCTTTGGGAGTATTTTGGGCCTCTTGGGGGGCTCTTGGGGAGCCTCTTGGGTGCCTCTTGGGGACCTTTGGGGGCTTTTCGGAGGCCTCTTGGGGCCTCCTGGGAGCTTCTGGGCTGCGGGGGTGAAGGGACTAGGCTGCCTTTGGCCGTCTTTGGGCTCTCTTGGGGGCCTTTTGGGGCCTTCTTGGGGCCGTCCTGGCGCCGTCTTGGGCCGTCTTGGCGCCTCTTGGGCCGTCTTGGCGCCCTCTTGGGCCGCTTTGGGGCCTTCTTGGGGGCCTCTTGGGCCTTCTTGGGGCGCTCTTGGGGGCCTCTTGGACAGTCTTGGACGCCTCTTGGCCCGTCTTGGCGCCCTCTTGGGCTATTTTGGGGGCCTCTTGGGAACATCTTGGGCCGTCTTGGGGCGGTCTTGGGGGCCTCTTGGACCGTCTTCAACGCCATGAAAGGCGAAAAGCCGTATATGCTAAACATGCACGTTTTCCTTAAGAAAATCAATGATTTTGGCCTCTTGGGGCCATTTTGGGACGCCTCGTGGGCGCTTCCTGGGGCGTCGTGGAGGCCTCTTGGGACGTCTTGGGGCCGCCTTGGGCGGTCTTGGGCTCTCTTGGAGCGTTCTTGGGCCGTCTTGGGCGCTTCTTGGGCCGTCTTGGGCGCCGTCTTGGCCGCTTCTTGGGCTGTCTTAGGCGCCTAAGACGGCCCAAGAAGCGCCCAAGAAGCGTTTTCCGATGATGTCTCGAGCGAAACGCTGTTTTGAAGCCCCGAAGGCCGTCCTACTCGATAAAAAACGAGGCGGGAGGGCAAGATCCGGGGCTGGCGATGCCACCCCCCTCGAAGTCCCCCAAATCCAATTTCTTCCGACTAACGGACCGCACGCTAACGCGCGCTTTCCGTCATCCGGGGCTGGCGATGCCACCCCCATCGAAGTCCCCCAAGTCCAATTTCTTCCGATTAACGGACCGCACGCTAACGCGCGCTTTCCGTCATCCGGGGCTGGCGATGCCACCCCCCTCGAACTCCCCCAAGTCCAATTTCTTCCGACTTACGGACCGCACGCTAACGCGCGCTTTCCGTCATCCGGGGCTGGCGATGCCACCCCCCTCGAACTCCCCCAAATCCAATTTCTTCCGACTTACGGACCGCACGCTAACGCGCGCTTTCCGTCATCCGGGGCTGGCGATGCCACCCCCCTCGAACTCCCCCAAATCCAATTTCTTCCGACTAACGGACCGCACGCTAACGCGCGCTTTCCGTCATCCGCCGCCCACTGTCGATTCATCGCAGGGGTGCCTGGCGTGCTAGACGATTTCGGTGTTGGTTTTGTTTTTTATTCCAAAAGAACTCCCCCTGGGACTCCGGCGCGTCCCGACGGGGTCCCGGGAGGACTGCCCAGAGGTGATTGCAAAGCGTTTCTCCTGCTCCAGACGACTCCTAGACAGCCCAAGATGGCCTCCAAGACGGCTAAGATGGCCCCAAGATGCCTCCAAGACGGCCCAAGATGCACCCAAGACGGCCTCAGATGGCCTCAAGATGGCCCAAGACGGCCCAAGAGGCCCCCTAAGAGGCCTCCAAGACAGCCCAAGAGGCCTCCAAGAGGTCCTCCAGGAGGACCAGAAGAGGCAAAAGTCATTGATCTTCCTTGGGCTTTTGAAGGATCCTGGCACTCGCTTATTCTCGGCTCTCCGACGACCCAAGACAGCCCAAGAGGCCCCCAAGATCGCCCCCAAGATCGCCCAAGAGGCCTCTAAGATGGCCTCAGGACTGCCCGAGAGGCCCCCAAGACGGCCCCAAGAGGGCACCAAGACGGCCCACGAGGCCTCCAAGACGCCCACGAGGGCCTCTAAGACTGCCCCGGAGCACCCCAAGAGGCCCCAGGTCGACCCAGAAAGGCCCCCCAAGCAGCTTCCGACGGCGTCCGACGGGCCAGGAGCCCACCAAGATGGCCGAGGTTGGCTCGAAGCTGGCCCAAGACGGCCCAAGAGGCCTCCAAGAGGGCCTCCAGGAAGGCCAGAAAAGGTAACAAAGCACTTACTTTCTCCAGGTTTTTGAAGGATGTTGATGTTTACTTGTTTTCGGCCTTCCAACGGCCCGATACGGCACAAGAGCCCCCAAAGATCGCCCAAGATGCCTCCAAGATGGCCCCAGAACGGCCCAAGAGGCCCCCAAGACGGCCCCAAGAGGCCCCCAAGACGGCCCCAAGGGCTTTTGAGACGTCCAAGATGGCCTCCAAGACGGCCCTGGAGCATTCCAAGAGGGCCCCAAGCCGACCCAGAAAGGCCCCCCAAACGGCTTCCGACGGCGTCAGACGGGCCAGGAGCCCACCAAGACGGCCGAAGATGGCACTAAGATGGCCCAAGACGGCCCAAGAAGCCTCCAAGAGGGCATCCAGGAAGGCCCGAAAAGGACAAAATGATTTCCCATGAGTTTTTGAAGGATTGTGGCATTTACTTGTTTTCGGCCTTCCGACGGCCCGAGACGGCGCAAGTGCCCCCAAAGATCGCCCAAGAGGCCCAAGACGGCCCCAAGAGGCCCCCAAGGCGGCCCAAGAGGCCTCCAAGACGCTCAAGATGGCCTCCAAGACGGCCCAGGAGCCCTCCAAGACGTCCCCCAAGAAGGCCCGAAAGTGTCAAAATGGCCTCCAGGCGGCCAAGATGACCTTCAAGATGCCCACGTGTTCCCCGAAGGCTTTCCAAACCGATTCGGGGAAAACACGGTCCGATAGCTTGGCAGGTCTGGCCTCAACGTTCGGCCACTTAGGCATTTCCGAAAGGTAAGGGGCGGCGGTGATTCGCCGTAGGCATCTTCGATACCCTACGTCAGCATAAGCTAACGCACACCCGTGATCGTGATCATGAGCTCACGCAGAAGCAGAAGCGTGCGCGTTCGATCGCAGCCCAAGATGCACCCCGAGAGACCATAAGGGGCACCCTCGAGGCTTCTGATCCACGACACAGGACGGTGTCAGCATGGTCTGGAGGCAACTAGCTAATTAAGTGGGCTCCCAGACGTAGATCCACTCAAGAGTCCCCTTCCCAGGCATCAGAAGCAAGAACCCTCTGAAACAATTTGCAAGCACCTTCTGCGTCGACCTACTCAGCAAAACGAGTCGTCGCTCAGCTCGCGACTGTCAAACAATAGCCTTATTGCCGCATCATCTTTCGGCAGGATGCATGGGGCGCCAAGGGCGCCTCGCCATGCGCTTCAAGAACCCGCGATGGCTGCCCCGGCCGCGCCCAGAGAGGGATTACGGCGCCGCATCGGGCTGTCTATCCGCGGAATGCCCGCCGGGTGAGCCGCACCACCGCCTAAGCGAGGACTGGCCGCAGCAGCACCTCCACACCGAGGGGCGCCGGCACCGCCCCTGCTGGGAGAGGGCGATCGGCCCCGGCTCGGCGACCGCCTCGGCGAGTTGGCGCGGCTGCCTGGGCCGCCCGCCGCGAAGCGCGCGGGGGAGAAGTCGCGCTCGGCGGGCACCGGCGTCGCGTTCCGCGAGCCTGGAACGCCGTCCACCGATGGGCTCCTCTGCGGGTTCCGGTCCAGTGCACCGGCGGCCCAATTCCGGCGGGCCACGGGCGAGGGCCCGCGCGGCTCCAGCGCTCGCTGCGAGGCCCGCCCCCTGGCTGGGGTGGCCACCCCGCGCACCGCGGCCGCCGGCCTGCGAGGCCGGACCTTCGTGGCCTGGTCCTCTGGAGTGATCCACGTGTTGGGCTTCAGGTCAATCTGGACGCGCCCCGCGCAGTCCGCGGCGGAGACGGTGGCAGAGAGCCACTCCTCGGGGAAATGCAGAGATGCCGACATCGCTGCCCCCCCGATCTCTCCTGGGGCGCGCTCCGGCCAGAGCCTCGAGGCGAACCTGGCCGTGGCGGCGAGGCAGGGGCATACACCGGGATGCGGCTCCTCCTCCTCCTCTGGACTCCTGGTGCGTGCTGGAGAGGTACTCGACGAGGTCCCCCTTCCTGTAGGCGCCCGCCGTGTCGCCGTACGGCCCGCACGCGGCGTACCCCGCGACGCAGGGCGGCGTGACCCGCAGGGCGGCCGCGGGGCCTGCCGCGGGCGGGGGCGGGAGGGGGGCCGCGGCGGGGCGGGGCGTGCCCTCCCCCGGCGCGGGCACCGCCCGGGGCGCGGGCCGCTCGTCCGCCCGGGCTGCCTGCCTGCCGTCGGGCTCCTGCTGCGCCTCCTGCAGCATCTGCCGCACGATGGTCTGGATCGCGGAGCGCTTCAGCACCTCGTCGGACGAGGGCCTGGAGGAGGGGCTCCTGCTCAGCATCTCGCTGCACAGCTGGCGAATGAAGTCCGAGTACTTCGGTGGCACCGTCGGCGTGGGCCCACGGCAGATCTTTTGCACCAGGCCGGAGATATTGGACGCGTTGAAGGGAACCTTCAGCGCACACATCTCGTACAGGATACATCCCAACGACCAAATGTCGGCAGGCCAGGCGTACGGCTTCTCCTGACAGACCTCGGGGCTGAGGTAGTAGGGGGTCCCGATCTGGGTTTGGGCGCACGCCATCGTGCAGGAGAGGACCTTGGCTATACCGAAGTCGCCCATCTTCAGGCTGCCGCTCTTGGACAGGAAGAAATTGCTAGGCTTGAGGTCCCTGTGCAAAATGTGCTTATCGTGGATGTACTTCAGTGCAAGCACGGCCTGCGTGAACCACCTCAGGATCTGAACCTCGGCCAAGCCTTCCCGGCGCTTACGGGCGTGCTCGATCTGTCTGGTGAGATCTCCCCCCTCGCAATAATCCATGAGGATGCAGAACCACCCCGCCTCAGTAAAATTCTCGCGGTAGCGTACTATGTACGGATGCTTAAGGGAAGCTAGTACCTGACCCTCCTGCATCGCAGCCTTGGTCTCCTTTACAGAAGCCTTGCTCACGTCGACCACCTTGCAAACAAGCTTCATGCTCTCCTTGGCGTGCACGAGGATCGCCTTGCCGAAGGAACCTTCCCCGATCTTGCGAACCTCTGTGTATCCACGCTTCTTCAAGATGGTCCCCAAGTCCCTGTGACCAACTGCCATCTATTGGGAAAGTATACCACAATGATGGGTTGCATGCGCAAGGGCAGGGAACAAGAAGACCTACTGTCTTGAGCCAAAATGGCTACTTCGTGCAAATGTGCCGTTGCATCGAGGTTACACTCCTCCATCGGGAGAGACGGTACCAGCAGGACCCATGTTCGGAACTTGCAGTTCAGTTTCCAACGTTCAGCCGACCAAGAGGTCTCTTCACTGCCATGGGCCATGTTCGCCAGCGCGGACCCCAAACACAGGATTATTGCACACTTGATGTGCACTCTGCGTGGTGCAGTGACTTGTGGAGATCCGCCGACCCTGTCGGCTGTGTCAACACGCCCTTCCGTTCGTCGTCGTCGTCGTCACCGTTCCCCCCCCTTTCCCTGGGCCCTCTTCAAGCGCGGCAGCCGAAGCAAAATTTAGCAGCCACGTCGCAATTGAGTCGAAAGGGAACGCCCTTCCCTTCGATTCCTGCCCAGGGGGGGGGTCCAGGGACCCCCCAAGACGAACCAAGACTGCCCCAAGAGGCCCCCAAAACGGTCCAAGAGGGCCCCGAATCGCCGAATTATCGGTCCAAGACGCCAGTGGCCTCCAGACGGCCCAAGAGGTTCCAAAGACGCCCCCAGAGGCCTTCAAGAGCACTCCAAAGAGGGCCCCAAGAGGCAAAAATCATTAGCTGCCCTCAGGCTTTTGATCGATTGTGGGATTCTCGCCTTGTCGGTTTCCCGACGCTCCAAGACTGCTCAAGAGGTCCCCAAGATCGCCCCAAGATTGCGCAAGAGGCCTCCAAGAGGGCCCCGAAACGATCCAACACGGGCCTCCAGGACGGCCCAAGTGGGCCCCAAGACGGCTCCAAGAGGGTGCCCAGATCGGGGGGGCCCAACGACCATGTCGAGCCCTCGGCCCGAGGGGCTCCCAGGAAGCGCCGAAAAAAACACCCAAGACGCCCCAAAAGACCCCCAAGAGGCCCCCCAGAAGCCCCAAAAGGCCGCCCAGAGCCTCCCAACAGGCCCCCAGAAGGCACCAACATTTCCCCCCCAGAGGCCCCCGAGAGCGCCCCGAAGAGACCCCAAGAAGCATCCCTGAAGACTCTGGCCCAAATCAACATCGTCGTCGTCGTCGTCGTCAATCGTCGTTCCCGGTCGGCGGCACTGGCCGTAAAGCCTCTCTAGTATGGAAGCCGTCAACTCCAATGTTCGGGCAAACATCCCACCCACCCATCCGCAACCTGTTGGCAAAAATCGAATGGCGCGGTGCCGAAAGGACCCAGATCAAATGACTCGGGCGGGCGGGTGACGATTGTGACGACGACATTGGCGACGGCGACGATGATGATGTTGGTGGAGCTGATGACAAGGGCGACGACGATGACGATAACGATGATGACGACGGTGGTGGTGGTGATGATGACGATGAGATGCTGACGGCGGCATTGTTGACGCTGGCGATGAAGAAGATGATGATGATGATGATGATGATGATGACCACCTTCCATTCTGTTTGCCAGAGCATATCTTTGCTGCAGGGGGCAAGGGCACATGTCCCGTCGACCGACGGGCTTGCAAGAGATAACCTGCAGCAGCCAAACCAAATCGAGATTACATGCCACAAAGGCGAAAGCGGGGAGGGAGAGGACGGAAACTTGAGCCGCAGTGATTGCGGCACACACACACACACTTCAAATATCAAAACACTCAGCATGCAGTAATATGATCACCTTCCATTATGTTTGCCCGAGCATATCTTTGCTGCAGGGGGCAAGGGCACATGTCCCGTCGACCGACGGGCTTGCAAGAGATAACCTGTAGCAGCCAAACCAAATCGAGATTACATGTACCAGGCATACTTGCAATCTACGGCCTTCAGGCCGCACAAACATTAACATAACACTAGCCGTTAAAGGGCGAGTCGACTCAGACGGGCATATCTCAACTTGCACGCCGCCGAGACCAACCAGTCAGAACCCCAACGGACAAAGTCCCTAGGACATCGGTGAACAGAGCGCTTCCACGGCACACCGCGCGGGTCGAGCGAGCTGAGACAGGCATGAAACCGACGCGGACCAGAACACCTGTGTCCAGAGCCCGCGCAGGAAGGTCGAGCCTCCAGGAGAAGCGCCGAGACTCCCCGCGCCCAAAGTTTAGAGGGCCGATGGTGAATATTACCGTACTGGCACAAGTTTAATTCAACCGTAGCATGCGACATAGCATATTTAGCATGCGACATAGCATATTTAGCAGAGGCACGGCGAAGCATAGGACATGCGGCACAGGCTTCTAATACAGCAGGGACCCTTAAGCGATGGCACTCGAGGATCAAGGAGCACAACCCACCGAGGAGAGCCCGAGGCCGAGCCGAGGGAACCGCAGGACCCGAGGAGAAGGAGGCCCGGGCGCCCAAGACCACCGAGCCCCGAAGCCACCCCAAGATCCTCTGGCGCACCGCGGGTCGAGACCAATCGAACCCAACATTATGTGTCGGGAGCGGCCAAGAGGGGGGTGTCCAAGAGGGGGGGGTGCAAATCATGGCCGGCGGCATGTGCGCGGTCCCGCGGGGGGGCCAGGGACGTAACGAAATAAGAAGAGGCGCCATGAAATCTGGGGAAATATCATGGCCCCCGCCATGATATCCACCCCCCCCTAGTCATCACCCCACTCTTTTCCGCCCCCGATTATGTGGAAGGTCTCTCATCGTCGCTAGTCTCGTCCTCGTTTCCGCCACTGCCGACGTCACAATGGTACCGCGCCCACCCCAGTCACCGACCGGCACTGAGCCGCTCGCGCGCCAGCGCGGCCCGTGAGCCGCGCTGGGAGCTCCCATCGGCTAGCGCCACCGCGGCCGCGTCCGCTGTACCAAACCAATTTGAAGGGGCCCACAAACACACAAATAAATACACACAAGTAAAAAGATTCCCCATATTTTCTCATATTTTCTGTGTTTTTGTCTTTGCCCCCACTTCCCATATTTTCCCATATTTTCCTGGGGATCAACGATTAATTGTGTCTGTGTGTATCTTCCCCTCCTGACAATTAACCGCCCTGCGCGCGAGCATGCGCAGGCTTGTGCGGCTGCAGTGACGCCCCAGCCAGCGTCAAACAATCTTCGAAATCGCCGCCGCATGGGTTTTGTAGGCCAAGTTGCGCGTGGGTGGGTGGGATGACTGCACGACCACTGAAGTGAACAACTCCAAGTCCCTCACAACTAACTGCAGCACGTAGATTGTACCTCATATATGGCACTGCGTTTTAGGCTCGAGCACACTGTTTGGAGTCCACGGTGGCTAACATCTTGAAGTGCTGAGAAACCAATGGCTTTTTTCCCCAAACAGCTTGCTGAACGGGGTGCTGTTGTGATAGAAGCTAACTCTGGCCGAGGGAAGTCGGAGCAGAGACATCCTCGCAAAATTTTGATGGTCCGGGCCGTTTCGCTTGAGACATCCTCACAACTCTCGTTTCTGAGCTGGCCGGGATTGGCCGTTTCGCCTGAGACATCCTCGAAAAGTTGCGTTCCGGGACGCCGCGCGAGAGGTGGTCCGGGCCGTTTCGCTTGAGACATCCTCGAAACTCTGAGCCCCGAGGTGCCGTGCGAGAGGTGGTCCGGGCCGTTTCGCCTGAGACATCCTCGAAACTCTGAGCTCTGAGATGCCTTGCGCGAGGTGGTCCGGCCCGTTTCGCCTGAGATATCCTCGAAACTCTGACCTCGGAGATGCCGCGCGAGAGGTGGTCCGGCCCGTTTCTGAGACATCCTCGCAACTCTGAGCTCTGAGATGCCCTGCGCGAGGTGGTCCGGCCCGTTTCGCCTGAGACATCCTTGCAACTCTGAGCTCTGAGATGCCGTGCGCAAGCTGATCCGGCTTGTTCCGCACAACTCTGAGCTCCCAGATGCCGCGCAAGAGGTGGTCCAGCCTGGGGGCCCAGAAGACCACATGTTACATACCCTCCCTGGGACCCTAGGAGCCCGCCTAAGACATCCTCGAATTTTCTGAGCTCTGAGATGCCCTGCGCGAGGTGGTCCGGCCCGTCTTGCCTGAGACATGCTCGCAACTCTGAGCTCTGAGATGCCGTGCGCAAGGTGGTCCGGCTGGTTTCGCACAAGGCATTCTCGCAACTCGGAGCTCCCAGATGCCGCGCAAGAGGTGGTCCAGCCTGGGGGCGCAGAAGACCACATGTTACATATCCTCCCTGGGAACCTGGGAGCCCCAGGAGGCCCCAGAGAGCTCCAGGAGGCCGCAGGACGCCCAGGACAGGCCCCAGGGGTCCCCAGGAGATTCCCAGGAGGCTTCCAGGAGGCCCCAGGAGGCCCCCTATCAGAACGTGTCAAGTTAATACAAATCCGGTGCCGATTCGTTGAGTCTTCCTGCTCTTGTGCCCCCCCCCTCATTTTGGGAGGCCCCGACGGCCACATGTTAGATATCCCCCCCTGGGAGACCCAAGAGGCTTCCGGAAACCCCAGGTGGAGTTCAGGAGGCCACAGGAGGCCCAGGAGGAAGCCCCAGGAGGTCCACAAGAGGCCCCAGGAGGCCCCAGGAGGCACCCGCAACTCGGAGCTCTGAGACGCCGCGCTCGAGGTGGTCCGGCCCGTTTCGCCTGAGACTTCCTCGCAACACGTTTCGCCCGAGACATCGTCGCAACTCTGGGATCCGAGATGCCGCGCGAGGTGGTCCAGCCCGTTACGCTGGAGACATCCTCGCAACTCTAGGCTCCGAGATGCCCTTCGTGACGAAGAGGAGGTGGATGAGGAGGAGGAGGAGGAGGAGGTGGAGGAGGAGGAGGAGGAGAAGAAGATGGAAGGGAGAAGGAGGAGGCGGATGATGTGCATGAGGGAGCAGGCAGGAGGAGGGGGAGGAGGAGGAGGAGGGGGAGGAGGAGGAGGAGGAGGGAGAAGGAAAGGAGTTGCAGGAGAGGACCTAACGGGAAGCGAGTGCGACGTGGACTTGTCAGAACGTGTGCGAGAGATTGTCCGGCCCGTTTCTTTTGAGACATCCTTCCAATACTGAGCTCCAAGATGTCGCTCGCGAGGTGGTCCGGCCCGTTTCGATTGAGCCATCCTCGCAATGCGAGGCTCGAAGATGTTGCGCGCGAGATGGTCTGGCCCGTTCTGCCTGAGACGTTTCGTAGCACAAGGGCTCCAATCACAACCTCTCTCATTCCTTCTCCCGCCGCCC